CTAGCAGAAGCAATCTGAATTATTATTACGTACGTATTATGCATTATTATTATTATTAATTTAGGGAACTGAAGCTCTATCATTATAATAATTTATTAGTTGTAGTATTATATTATTATTTTTATTATTAATATTTTTATTATTATTATTATTATTATTATTATTATTACTATTATTATTATTATTATTATATTAAATTAGGGAACTGCAGCTCTACGTAATTGTAATAATACAGTAGACTGCCATTGAAGAATTGCTGCACAATTTTATGTATACACATTGTATAATTAATTTAACATGGTTCAGTTTGTGGGAAGGAAAAAAAAAATTCTCTTGCGGCCACTTTGTTGTAGAGCAGGCCGGGACCCTCCCCTACACTCACCGACAACTACCCCGCCCCCCCACCATCCCAGCATTCCTATATCATACGTTCCAGTCTTTCTCTCCTACAAGGCAGCTGTGTTTGCAATTGTGTTAGATATATTAATTACTATATCTTGTATCTGCCAAGCACTCATGACACCCAGTAGCCATACTAGTGTTGCTGAAAGTGGCACGAAGAGGTATAAGCACGTATTACTTAGAATTAACAAAGATATTAAACGAGTGATAACCTGTAGCCAGTAAACTGGAAGTGTTACATTTACACAGAAAAAAGAGGTAACATGAGTTTGTGTGACTGACTGACCGAGAATCTGAATGAATGACCTTATTAGTGGACTTGACTGATTTACTGAATGAGCTTGACTGACTGCCTACTGAGATGACTGGACTGACTTACTGAATGACTTGACTGACTTACTGAATAACTTCACTGACTGACTTACTGAGTGACTTGACTAATATATTATTATTATTTCTGAGAAGAAAAAGAGAGTGATTTCCATGGAATGAAAGCAGAAATCATAGATACACATGCGAGTGTCCAGGTTTGGGTTGAAGGTGGAAGAGGAGGGGGAGCTGGCACGTAACTCAAATGTTGGCTCCTAACTCAGAGCAAAAATTCGACCCAAGTATGGCTTGTATCTCAAAAAACTCATAAGTTGGGACACTCTAAATCAAGGTTTCCACTGTATCTTGAAATTGACTCAGAGTAGCCGAAATGTGCGATTTTTGCCAAAGTTTCAAAGTAAACAAATCATGCCACGTGTCCAATAACACTCAACTGGTCGAGTCGAATATTCCTTATCACAAGTGCGCTGGAATTATTTTATTCCATTTCTACACACTAATGCAGTAGTCCCCTGCATAACATAAAGTCTTCTAGTTTATTGTGAATAAAAATTCAAAGTGAAAGCAAAGAAATGTAATAGGCCTGGGGACGTGACTAAGAATAGAGGAAATGTTATTATAGTGGCCAAGAAATGTCTTGTCTTGTTTTTATTCTGGAACCCTATTTGGAAATTGGGCACTTTTGAAATTTGTGTGAAATTGGCAAAATTGCTAATTTTCTGACCACCTTAATGGATAGTTTGAAATCGGTAAATGGGTGGTTTCTTTTAATCAATCAATAGAAAGAATGGAGTTTCTAGTGAATAGGTATGATTTTTGTCGACTAGTACATGCAATTGGCCGAAAATAGGGCTCAAAGTGGCGAAATCGCCGATGCTTAACACGTCGAGACTGCTACTTTGCGAGAGCATAATTTCCATACGTTTTCCATCAAATTTCATACTTTTGGTGTTTTATGATTTGGGAAAAGAATTCCCTATCTCTTCATAAGAACATTTTTTTTTTTTTTTTCCGAAAAATTTTTCACCCTGAGAACAAGTTTAGGAAAGGGTCTCTAGACCTGAATGGGTTGTAATTTGTGTTTATTAATGAAAAAATTATTGAAATATAAAAATTTAGTAATTTCGTCACAACTTCATGCAGAAATTTTAAATTACGTGTTTAATTTAATTAAGAGCAGTGTTCTATTTGTTTTTCACTGGCATGAATAGGCACTTTTATACAAACTTGATTACACTCATTGCCTTACAAAAATGCTAGTAATCTCATAGTATATTTTTAATTGTAAGCATTCACGTACAGACATTGCCTGCAAGTTTTTTAACTGTATTGTAAGTAATATATTAAACTTATTACAGTAATTTGGAAATTCGCACTTTTTGAAATTTGTGTGAAATAGCAAATTGCTAAATTCTGACCACGTATTGGATAGTTGAAATCAGTAAGTGGGGTGGTTTCCTGTACTCATCAATAGAAAAAATGGAGTTCCAGAGAAATAGTTATGATTTCTGTCGACTAGTACACAGGAATTGGCCGAAAATAAGGCTCAAAGTGGGCAAAATCGCCGATGCGTAAACATTGCCGAGACCTCTATCTTCACTAGAGCATAATTCCGTAAGTTTCCATCAAATTTCAGTTACTTTGGTGTCAAATATGATCAGTGAAAAGATTCTCTACCTTTTCATACAGGAAAAAATAAATAATTTTTTTTTTTTAAATTTGGCCGACCCTGAGAACGAATCTTGGAGAGGGCCTGTCGACCCTTAAAGGGTTAATGATTTAATGAGTGAGACTTCAGCAGAAATTGTTGGTGCTAGATATAGAGTATCTGGGTAGTTACCAGTGAAGTAGTCTTTCAGCTGAGTATTTGAGCTCGGGATTTTACTAGCTAGTTTTGATCCTACAATAGAGAAGAAGACATTAAGTTTGTTGACTGTGTCTATAGGCTGTATGTAAGGTCCATCTGGTTTAGTTAAGTTTATCTCTCTGTTTCTAGACAGTTTTCTAGAGCTCAAAATTTCAGAGGGGGTTTTCCAGGCCCTTTTCATATCACCTTTTATTTCAATAAATCTATTTTCATGACACATTTGCTTTGATTTCTGTATAAGTTCTACGAGTATTGAGGTGTATTGTTTAGTCAGTTCGACTTGACTCATGAAATTGTAATGACACAATTGCAAACAAACCGTGGGTTCAACCCCCACCTGTGGTATGGTTTAGTCAGTTCTTTAGTAATCAGGACTAATCTGAACAGTTTTTCATATTGGTGCTTTTATCAATGAATTTTAGGATACTATTAGTTAGCCACGGGTTGTTTAGTCTCTCTGTTGTTATCTGCTTTGTTTTGATCGGACAATGCATGTTATAAAGGTTTTGGGTTTTATGCAAAAGTTTTGACATCTTCATCAACATTATGGCTGTCTGCTAGTTCTCTCTGCAGTCAATGTCACCTAATGCTAATATTAAATTATTTACTGATGACTCGTCATGTAGGCGAAAAGAGATCTTACTCGAGCCTGGCCCCTGGCCGAGCTCAAAGTAGATAAACTCTCAAAACTCTTCAAAGGTATATCAAAGGTATATCGAGTCTTCAGGCAGTGTACATAGGTTGGTTATGAAGAAGGTGGGGTAGTGGCCTGTAGTGTTATCTCGGATTATACCTGCTTGTAGCAAAGATAGTGTTGGTCCAAATATAGTCAAGTAATGAGGCACTTATCTTAAGAGATTCTTGTTGGCTTCGTTATAGAAGGTAATAGCAAGCAGTTGTTCAGTGTTTGTGAAATCAGCAACTGGAGGGTCAGGTTACTATACAAGAATACGAGATTTATTTCTTTGAAAAGGTTACAATGTGAAATTACAATTTTGGTTTGCTAAGCTCTCCCCCCGTGCTTATAAATAATTGATGGCTTGGTGGCTAAAGCTCCCGCCTCACACACGGAGGGCCCAGGTTTGATTCCTGGCAGGTGGAAACATTCCGACACATTTCCTTACAACCTGTCCCTGTTCCACCAAGAGCAAGTAGTACCTGGGGGTTAGTCTACTGTGTGGTTCGCATCCTGGGGACAGATTGAGGACTCCCAAGGAAATAAGTTAGACAGTCCTCGATGATGCACTGACTTTCTTGGGTTATTCTGGGTGGCTAACCCTCTGGGGTTAAAAATCCAAACAAAATCTTATCTTACAAAGAAAAGTCACTATCATGCCGAGTCATTTCAGGGCGGACTAATCCTAGGTACAACATAATAACTACTTATAAATAATAATAATAATAATAATAATAATAATAATATTAATAATAATAATATTATTTTATAACCCTTAAATGGTCCAAACGATAATACATTTTTTCCAACATTGAATGTAAAAAAATGTACATCAATTTTTTTTTTTTGTAACATTTGAAAATGGTAAGAAAACTTTTATCTACATTTTTTTTGTTATATTTGAAAAATGTAACAAAAAATAGATCTACTTTTGGAGGCACTTATTTTTAAAAACGGGGTGGAATTATGGAAACGTCACTCATTTGATCATTAAGGGTTTAAGACATGATACATAGTTTGTATAAGGTATTACAGTAAGTTGTTGTACATGTCAAAAAGGGCCCTTGTATGCAGACATTATAACCATACAAAGACTGTAACTATATGAATTAACTAAATATAAGAACCCCAATGGAAATGAGTTACTCACATTTTTGGGTTATTCTAGGTAATTGACACTATGTATGATAATTAAACTTATATGTACCTGTGCCTTACTATGCATGTATTAGGATGATAATTTAAAAGTTAACCGAGGATGACCTCAGTCTATGTTCTTCTGTGATTTTACTTTAATAATGCTGGAGATACACCAGAACAGTGATAACCATCTAATTATATTTCATTAATCGGTCATTGTTGGTGTGACTGACAAATTAAAATAACGTAGTTGGAAGGGTAATTAACCTGCGGTAATTAACCTGTCAGTAACTGAATATTACGTAGAATAATGCCACTTGAACCGTGAACACCCGAGAGTTCCAAATACATCCAGAAACTTAACAACCGGTTGACAATTAATCATAAAACACCTGACAATATCCTCAACACAGTAAAACTGATCCGTCCCTAACCTACTTGGAAATACGGTGTCCCTCAGTAATTATCCCATATTGCCGGCTTCACACTAGTGTTGCACCGGATTTCTAACTGCCAGCCGCTGGATGGGTGCATCATTGTGGAGGTAGAGTAGTTAGAGGTAATATTAAGGAGTAAAATACTCACCAAAGCCATTAATATAACGCAGCGCCGCATAGCATCCCACGTCAAACCCGCAGGCTGATTGGTATATGAGAATTAATGGCACATGTCATCACAAACACCTGTATTTCATTTATATAAAATTAATATGGGCTAACAAGCATTGCGAGATGATGAATGAGGCCCAGAGAAATAAGAAGAGAAAACTTAATATTGCCAAAAACATTAATAAATTATTGCACCTAGGGACTAACATAATATTTTCTCCCTAAACTATTGTTCTGCAAGATATATCTTTTTTATAGCTGAGGCATTGTGCACGCATTATATTGCTTTTATTGACGTTTTACTTTTAGATATATTATTTTATAAGTAGTGTATGTGTGATAAATGAAACTACAATTACATGATGTAAACAACAACTCTCACCCTGTCACATTTTTATTAAAAGAGATAGAAATAAAGATGTATTAAAATAAGTGTTCAGAATTATTTAAAAAAAAATAACAAATAGCAAAAGCAGAGAGAAGTACACGTATATAAAATTGGTGGGGAAATTAAAGGTAAGTTTGTCCCCGCCACAGAGAGGAAATACAAGCTGGCAGTGTTTACTTGTCACCTGAAGAAACAGCTGTTGACACAAATCTTGTTGTTGTTGCGTTAATTCGCGCCCATATACTCTCTTCCAGCCTCTGTATGGCCTCTTGATACCCACCTCAACGAGTAATACACAGCAGGACCCTCAAAAGCGCCAGTATGGAGCCTGTGATGGTGCTGACGCTCCTGTCCTTTGCCATGTTGGTGGGATGTTACACTGCTGGCTCCATACCTCTCGTTATGACCATGTCAGAGGTGACCTACAACTTCACTAAATGTTATGTTGATCTTGTCTTGTGTCGTGACAAAATGTATCATTGACTTCATCTATGTAGTGTGTCTCCTTCTATGTCCTTGTGACACAGTGTAAGTGGTGTCTTTCCTCTATGCTAGAACACAGTGTAGTGGTGTCTTCCTTCTTTCTATGTCTTACACAGTGTCGTGGTGGTCTTCCTTCTATGTCCATGACCACAGTGTAGTGGTGACTTCCTTCTATGTCTTGACCACAGTGATGCCGGGGTCTTCCTTCTAAGTCTTGACACAGTGGTAGTTGTGGTCTCTTCCTTCTATTTTTGACAGCAGTGTAAGTGTGTCTTCCTTCTATGTCTTGACACAGTGTATGGTTCTTCCTCTATGTCTTGACACAGTGTAGTGGTGTCTTCCTTCTATGTCTTGACACAGTGATGCGGTGTCTTCCTTCTATGTCTTGACACAGTGTAGTGGTGTCTTCCTTCTGTGTCTTGACACAGTGTAGTGGTGTCTTCCTTCTGTGTCTTGACACATTGTAGTGGTGTCTTCCTTCTGTGTCTTGACACATTGTACTGGTGTCTTCCTTCTATGTCTTGACACAGTGTACTGGTGTCTTCCTTCTATGTCTGACAACAGGTACTCTGGTGACTTCCTTCTATGTCTGACACAGTGTACTGGTGTCTTGCCTTCTATTCATGACATCAAGTGTACGTGTCTTCTTCTTATTGTCTTGAACAGTGTAGTGGTGGTCCTTCCTTCTATGTCTTGGCACAGTGTACTGGTGTCTTCCTTCTTTTGGTCCTTGCCACAGTGTACTGGTCACATTACCTTCTATGTCTTGCACAGTGTACTGGTGTCTTCCTTCTATGTCTTGACACAGTGTACTGATGCTGCTTCTTCTGTTCTTGACACAGTGTAGTGGTGTCCTTCTATGTAATGACAACAGTGTATTGGTGTCTTCTATGTCGTGACACAGTGTAGTGGTGTCCTTCATTCTATATCTTGACACGTGTAGGTGGTGTCTTCCTTCTATGTCTTGACACAGTGTGTGTGTCTACCTTCTATGTCTTGACACAGTGTAGTGGTGTCTTCCTTCTGTGTCTTGACACAGTGTAGTGGTGTCTTCCTTATGTCTTGACACAGTGTAGTGGTGTCTACCATCTATGTCTTGATGCAGTGTAGTGGTTCTTCCTTCTATGTCTTGACACAGTGTAGTGGTGTCTTCTTCCTTCTATGTCTTTGACCAGTGAGTGGTTGTCCTTTCTTCTATGTCTTGAACAAGTGTAATGGTGTCTTCTTCTAGTCTTGACACAGTGTAGGTGTCTTCCTTCTATGTCTTGACACAGTGTAGTGGTGTCTTCCTTCTATGTCTTGACACAGTGTAGTGGTGTCTTCCTTCTATGTCTTGACACAGTGTAGTGGTGTCTTCCTTCTATGTCTTGACACAGTGTAGTGGTGTCTTCCTTCTATGTCTTGACGCAGTGTAGTCGTGTCTTCTATGTCTTGATGCAATGTAGTGGTGTCTTCTATGTCTTGACGCAGTGTAGTGGTGTCTTCGTTCTATGTCTTGACGTAGTGTAGTGTGTGTCTTCGTTCTATGTCTTGACACAGTGTAGTGGTTGTCTTCCTCTATGGTCCTTGACACAATCTATAAGTGTAGTGGTGTTTCCTACTATGTCTTGACACAGTGTAGTGGTGTCTTCTTCTATGTCTTGGACACAGTGTTAGTGGTGTCCTTTCTTGTGTCTTGACACAGTGTATGGTGTCTTCCTAGCCTTTCCTATGTCTTGACACAGTGTATTTGGGTCTTCCTATGTCTTGACACAGTGTATGGTGACTTCCTTCTATGTCTTGACAACAGTGTATTGGGGTCTTTCTATGTCTTGACACAAGTGTATGGTGTCCTTCTGTTTGACACAGTGTAGGGTGTCTTCTGTTTTGAACACAGTGTAGTGGTGTCTTCTGTTTTGACACCAATTGTAGTGGTGTCTTCTGTGTTTGACACAGTGAGTGGTGTCTTCTGTTTGTGGGGGGGGGGGGGGGGGGGGGGGACACAGTGTATGGTGTCCTTCCCTTCTATGTCTTGACACATGTATCGGTGTCTTTCTTCTATGTCTTGACTGTGTACTGGTGTCTTCCTTCTATGCCTTGACTGTGTAGTGGTGTCTTCCTTCTATGCCTTGACTGTGTAGTGGTGTCTTCCTTTGTTGCCATGACACAGTGTAGTGGTGTCTTCCATCTGTGTCTTGACACAGTGTAGTGGTGTCTTCCATCTATGTCTTGACAGTGTAGTGGTGTCTTCCTTCTGTGTCTTGACAGTGTAGTGGTGTCTTCCTTCTATGTCTTGACAGTGTAGTGGTGTCTTCTATGTCTTGGCACAGTGTAGTGGTGTCTTCCTTCTATGTCATGACACAGTGTAGTGGTGTCTTCCATCTATGTCTTAACACAGTGGCTAATGCTCTCGCTTCACACACGGAGGGCCCGGGTTCAATTCCCAGCAGGTGGAAACATTTCGACGTGTTTTCTTACAACTGTTATCCTATTCACCTAGCAGCAAATAGGTACCTGGGTGTTAATCAACTGGTGTGGGTTTCATCCTGGTGGACAAGACTGAGGACCCCAATGGAAATAAGTTACATTCCTCGATGACGCACTGACTTTCTTGGGTTATCCTGGGTGGCTAACTCTCTGGGGTTAAATATCTGAAGAAAATCTTATCTCTCCTTCTATGTCTTGACACAGTGTTGTGGTGTCTTCCTTCTATGTCTTGACATAGTGTAGTGGTGTCTTTCCTCTATGTCTTTGACATAGTGTAGTGGTGTCTTCCTCTTTGTCTTGACGTAGTGTAGTGGTGTCTTCCTCTATGTCTTGACATAGTGTAGTGGTGTCTTCCACTATGTCTTGACATAGTGTAGTGGTGTCTTCCTCTATGTCTTGACATAATGTATTTGACTTCCTCTTGTGTCTTAGATAAGATTTTATTTGCATTTTTAACCCTGAGGGTTAGCTACCCAGGATAAGCCAAGAAAGTCAGGGTGCCATTGAGGACTGTCTTATTTCCTCTGGGAGTCCTTTATCTTGTCCCCCAGGATGTGACCCACACCAGTCGACCAACACCCAGGTGATCTACTTATTTTGTAGATGAACATGGACAGCAGTTGTAAGGAAACATACCCAGTGTTTCCACCTGGCCAAGGATCGACGTAATGTAGCAGTGTCTTCCTCCTACATCTTGAATTAATGTAGTATTAGTGTCTTCCTGTGTCTTGGTATAATGTATACGTGACCTACCCCTCTTTCTTGATGTATTGTATTGGTGACCTCCTCTTGTTTTCATATAATGTATTGATGATTATCTTCTGTGTCTTGATGTAATGCATCAGTGACTTCTTATAACTTAAACATAATATAGCAGTGACTTCAATCTGTGTCTTGCCTATGTATGTATCAGAGACTTTATCATATAATTTGAATTGTAATGTACCAGTACATCCTATGTTATGACTTAATCCTGTATCTGGACAATATAGCATTGATCTCCTCTGTCTTGATAAAATGGCTGTTACTTCCCCCATCTTGATAATGTAAGGGTGATTGCCTCTATGTTGATGTAATGTGTATTTCTGCATGCAGTGCCAGATTTACCTATAAACTTGGCAGGCTGAAGTCTAGGGTCACAAAATCTAGGGGGCCTCCAGTCAAACTGTATAATATTTTTGAGCCAAAAGACTGCTCAGGAGAAATCATGGCTGACTTAGTGTCTATCTCATTAGTGAGCTTGAAATTTACTTTAGAAAATGCTGAGGGCAGTCTTACAACAGTGCTGCCAACATGATTGGTAGGCACAATGGTATGCCACAAAAATCATCAAAAAAAAAAAAAATTACAAGATTTATTCCATGCACTGGTCACTCTTTAAATTTGGCGGACCATTCAGCTGTTGATTGCTGCCTTGTTTCAGTGGACTATTTTGGCATTATCAAAGAAATTTATACCTTTTTCATCCTCCATAAAGAGATGGGCAGTTCTAAAATAATTTTTCCAACCTGTCAAAAGTGCCTAAATATTTGTCAGGTGGGAGGCATGTGCAAAAGCCACAGAGGCTATTTTGGAAAAGTACGGTGATATCACTGAGGCCCTCAGTCATTTGTGCTCAGATGTTAATGAGAATCGTAATGCCAGGCTTCAAGCTAACAATCTTTTGCAGAAAATGGAAGAACTGGAATTTGTGTTGATGCTGCATTTTTGGACCCATGTGCTAGGTCATTTCACAAGGTCAGTAAAGCCATTCAGAAATCAGAACTGTTATTGAATACTTGTGCATGTTTGTACAGTGCACTTCAGGATTTTTTAAACAAAATTAGACAAGATTTTGATGAGCTTCAGCAACAAGCAGAAGCCACCTTGCCAAATATTAACTACAGAACTGTCACAAGGAGACAGAGTAAGGAAACAGCCAAGAAGTGATGAATTCCCTGGTCCTGATGCCTTAGATGAACTCTCTTCAGGAGATAAGTTTAGGGTAAAATCCTTTTTTCTTATCCTAGATGCAGTTGAAGTCAATCTGAGAAGACTACTAAGAGCTACTGCGTACAGTAATGTTACACAAAATGTTTTCTTGCTAATCTGATAGCATCTAAGCAAGAAATTCAGTTAATGGAAGCATACCCAGAAGGTGTCGACCTGAAACTTAATGATGGACTTTTGCACTTTAACTTGTACGTGAGACAAAGCCATAGGCCTACAGAAGTGCAGTCATTGTCTTATGCAGACCTTTATCAAAATAGTATATACAAGGAAAAAATTCACATGGCCTTCTCTAATGTGGAAGAAATTTTGCAGCTATTTCTTAGCTTAATAGTCACTAACTGCTAAGGAGAGAGGTCTTTTTCAAGCCTCAAAAGAATTAAAAATGTCTTGAGGAGGTTGTCCTCTGCACGAGCAATTCAGTGCATTGAAAAGAGACGAACTTAGACAAAACAAATTTTGATAACTTTTTAGACTTT